AAATCCCAAAATTACGCACAATAAGCTCCCGAAATGACGTGAGATTGAAATTATGTATTGGGTTTTTCAACGCGGCCTTTTGCCTACGTTGACAAAGTAAAAAAATTAACTTGTTTTATTCACGATTCATGTAATTTAGGGAAATAAAATTTTAATTGAACAAATAATACATAAAAAATTAATGATTTGATTATTTGAATATTTTTACCGATTATTTGATATATTTGTCGATTATTCACTTAAAAATGAATTTTAATCATCCAAACACTGCGGTTAGGTACATAGTGATATATCATTGAAACGATGTCAAGTAAGAAAGTTGATACTGGTTATTTTTTTAATATTTTGCTTTTTTTGAAAGATTAAATTTTAAATTAGTGATAAAAAACTATACACTTTGTAATGAAATATAGATAACTTCATAATTCATCGGATTTACGTAAAGGGTTATTTTAAATCGTTTGAGTACGTTTGTGCAAAGTTATTGCGGAATGATTAATGTGAAACGTCAAAAGGTATTTCTTAGATTTGGTTGACTATAGTAATTACTCTAGAGTTTTTTACCTTGGCAATTTGATGCATATGGACTAATATTGTTTTAATGCTAACGTTAAAAGTTACTGCTAATCCAGCCGTAGATTGAGTATCATTAGCTTCCACCTTTAATTCGTCATTGTCGACCAAAGTTTTCGGACGACCACGGGGTTAATTTTTCAGATAGAAATTTGCAGAACGGAAGCGGGCAAACCAATAACAGGTGCAGGCGGTGCGTTCGTTTGTAGCATTCGCTCCGTAAACGTCGTGGATGTTGCGTGCCGCTTGTGCCGCCAAGACGGTACTCATATTCAATTGTTACTCTATTAGTTTTTACGTTTTCATGCGAATGGAAAAGAATGACGAAAAGTAGCCAAATGCGATCAAAATATAACGTTTAGCAATAAACAAATGACTAATTTTGAAAAAAAAATCCATATTTTTAAAATAAAATTAACATGAAATTAGAATTCTTAGCTAAACAAAAATTATTTTGATATGAAATGGCCAGTACCACAGAACGGAAATTTCATAGGTAAAGACCTATTATTTGTGATCTATCAAATAGACTGCAGGTCAAATAGAGTGGATTCTTTACATCAGCTACATGTTTTTTACGCTGGTGTTATGTAAAAGAGATCACGTGTACAATCAAGCTTGTACACTCTTGCATTTTGCAGATGGTTATTACACTTGACGGACGGTAAGAACTGACTAAATTTCTTTGGTGGCTTAAAATATGTTTTAACGGAAGCTTGCTTCAAGATGTAGTCAATATTGTGTGTGACACCTTTGACGTAGTAAAGATTTGACAAATTTAATACAGCATACACTAGTTCGACTATGGCCGATCTTAGTTGGTCAATGTGACTGTTATTGTCGTGCAAAATTAGCTTACTTCAAGTCTGAAGGGTATGAAGAACCGTTATAATTAAAAACTGTGAGGCGCACCATCTTATTCCTACGAGGTGACAACGCATCTGTAGCCTTCATTGATTAGAGTTGGTTGCAGGTGTCCGAACTTGCAAAACTGCAGTTGCAGTTTTGCAAGTTCTTTTAAACGAACTTATATTTTAAAAAAATATAGAAGTTTGTATGTTCAAAATCTTAAATCTCTGTAATTTCTGCGCCAGTTGATTAACTGTGTCAGGGTGACCAAACGAGGAAAACAGACATTTTATAGTATAGGTCATAGACATCAATATGGTCTGTGTAATAGGTAACCAAATTAAAATTTCTTAGAGGCTGCTTATAAAATCAGTTAATATTTACATCTTGTATAGATATATGGTTACAATTAGTATACAAGTTAATAAATAAAAGTAATAATCACAATATTTTTGTTAATAGTATTGATATTTTTATTTAAATTACATGAATTAACAAGTGTGTCATTTAAAAATATAAATTCAAATAATTGTTAAATATTATTTATAAGTGCAAATCAATTCATTGTAATAAAATCGTCCTTTGTCGACATGAGTTTTGTTTAAAATAGGCATTCTGTTTCGTTATAGTTGTTTCGATATTGCACTGATTATCGATAAACGAATGATAACAATATGCTGTTTTCCCATCACTATTTCAGTTTGCCGATCGCCGCACACGTGCTGAGATTTTGTGATATTTTCTACTTATTTGCACTTTTCAAAACTTGTAAAGCGCCAGAAAGCGTTACTTTTTGAGTAATACTATTAAACAACATAAATCAACGGCATCATATTTAATTAGTGAGTTCATCATTATTTTATTTTGACATGCTGGGGTGGGGCAAAATGACTGTAGAAAAAGATCGCCACGTGTCCTATATTTTAATCTTCTTTCTTTAATTTTTTTAATATATTTTGTTCTATATGTGCTCTTAATAATTTTTCCAAATCATAGTCAATTGTTCAATATTACTTAATAATACTACACTAACTTACTAAGAACTTCGTGTCTTGTCATTACTTCATCGATTATTTTTGAGCACCACTTGTTATTATTGTGTTGTATCTTCTTGGCTTTTGATTATTTTGACTTCTTATTTTTATCATTGATCAACTGCAATGACTATTTACCTAAGTAAATGTAATTACCTTGTGATCTTAACCAAATATTTGTACAATAGTGTGCTGTCCTAATATACCCTACCAGGTACATTAAATTAAATGTGTAAATAAACCTTTAACCTGTATATGTATCCTCTTTTACAGTAGGATAAAATTATTAAATCGGGTACAATATCGCTTAAAAGTAGTAAAAGTAATTTTATTTATACCAAGTAGAGAAAATTTGTATTAGTATGTATTTCAACTACCTTTTTGTTAGGAAATGTTGTTTGTATGGTGTACGTACAAAATTTAGTAATATGAACATTGATAAATTTTGTAATGTAATAAATAAGGTTTTTCAATACTTACAGTGATCAAATTTACTTTTTCTTTGCTGGGTCAAGGGAGACTAGATAATGGTCTGATTGATTGTACAATCACATTAATTGATTTTGTGTCATAGAGGTCAGTGCGGGGCCGTTGATTTTATCTAAATTTTAAGTTTAAATCCCAAGCCACTCTAAGCTGTACTTAAATTGAACTGTGTCTATGACTAATTATTGTGCCATCTTATTAATACTTATGTTTAAGTATAACCTTATCACTTGCCTAGTGACAATATTTAATATTATAAATATGTATTATACTATAGAGTAGAAGAAAATATTAATTACATCAATTTAAAATTAAATAGGCCATTTTCAAAATCAAAATATTTGAAATAAGAGTTTATATGCCTATGAACTAAAAATGACAGCAATTATACTTTTTCAGCTTGTTGCTTGCTACAATGACCCTAAGTTTTTTGCAAAAGAAATGTTACAAGAGCCAAGTAAAGGAAAACAAAATAGTCTATAAATAAATATTTTAATAATAAATTTGTGGGGTGGTTTTTTTTGTAACAGCCAGGTTGATCCCCACCGGCACCAATGAAATTCTTAGTTGTAATTTTAAGTGCTGATTTACTATGCTTGACAGTGGAGGTTTGAAATATAAGAAAAAAATATTTCAAAGATGTGAAGCAAAGGCGGACATTGGGACTGTATAGGGTAATTCTTTAGTAATCTGCTGCACGAATTATTGGTCGCCGAGTGGGCGGGTAGATGGGGGGAGGGGGTAGGAACCTCCCCCAAAAAAAAATTAAGTGCCGGAGACTCCCCCCCCCATTTTTTATGAATTTTTTTAATAATCTGCCGCATGAATATATGGTCACCGAGTGGGGGGAGGGCTGGGCTTGAAACCTCGTCCTAAAAGGGGGAAGTGCCAGAAACACCTTTTTTTTGTAAAATCATAACCTCATTTTTTTATACAGGAATATTGACGCAGTTACTTCTGCAATGGCTTCGGCACTGCGGGAAGTGCAGCCCCTTTGCCCTTGTGTAGCAAATCACAGGCACCCATGCTCGCCTCCGTAGCTTCGGCTTGTTGGTCGCCTGTGGCGACCACCCTAAGCCGCTACGGCTCGCTTAGGTGCCTGTGATTACCTACAGCGGGCGGGGGCTGCTCTCCCTCCGTGCCTACGGCTTTACAAAAACACTAGGGGTAGGGGCGACAAGACTACGTGGAGTCGGGGTGTGCTAATTCGGTTTTAGAACCGATTCGACCTATTTTATCTACAAAGTCTAATTGCTCTTAACTCTGCTACTAGAATGGTAAATGAAATAATGTAATGTGAATTGTTATAATTTTGTTTTCGGATAAACCTCTTGACTGCTCTCCACTGCAACTCAATTTGTATATAAGTCCTATATATGTCCCATATCCACCACAACAAATGGATTGTCTGGGTCCGAGTGATTAACTTTTTTATGAGCGTATCTGTGTTAAAAAAACAAACTGGCATATTTGCGTTTCGTTATATGTGATTTAAAGTGAAATTAATTTTTATCGTAAGTAATTAATTCAAAAGGCATTTCCGAAATCCAAAAACAGTGTAAATGGTTCGAGCTTAACCCTGACAATCCTCCTAAATTGAAAACATAATTAAAAAATCAAGTGTCGGAAATCTATTTCATAATACGAGAACAAATTGACTTTTACACTATTTTTGGTGAAATTTGTTTTTATCGTAATTAGTTCAAAATGCATTTCCGACATCTAAAAACAGTTAGTAGGTTTAAGATTAACCCTAACAAGCCTCCTAGAGTAAAAACATTATCAAAATCAAGGACCGGATGTCTAGCCAACTCGATATAACCTCAAAACTTTAAGTATGGATATCTCGAAAAATAAAGATTTTCGGTATAAAAAGCAGCTAAATGGTAATCAATAGCATCATTGCCTGTCAACTAAAGCTAAAATAATCACTTAAATCGTGCAGCAGATTACTAAAGCTGACCCCTGTATAGGCTGTAACTTTAATTTTATATCAAATTTAGTTGCTAAATGTGTAAAAAATTTGTTTATAGTTCCTAGTTATCAAGGCATATGGCAATGGTGTCAGAGGTGAAGGTGAATGGTGGCGACATGGAGACCCCTGCGGGTGAGCTGCTGCCAGCGCTTGCTGAAAAACCTGCCGGTCTACCACCTGGCAAGTACTCCCTTGTTGGATGGGATATGGATACTACTGGACGTAGGCTTATTGATGAAGTGAGTTTTTTTTGCTGTTGTCTCTTGTTATTATATACCCACTTCAGAATTTTAATGAAATAAAGTCTTAATGTTATTTAATGTAGAGGCATTCCTTATGTATAATATTGTACTTATTATTACAATTTCCTTTAAAAAAACTAAAAAAATGCAGGAAATGGTTAATTTACATAACTAATACTACTATTTGATCAACCATTGAGTCTAGTAGCTTCAAATTTACAAATAAGTTGTTTAAATAAATTAAATTAAATATATTAGAACCATTTTATTTTACTGCTATAAAATATACAATAACTGAACATTACTATTAAATACAGTTTAATGTAGTAAATTAAAATGTTCAATTTTTTATTTAAGTTTGTTCTTTATTTATTGACATGACAATATTTTGGGATATTTGATAGAAGGATACTTACACCAATTTTATCATGTTGGTATGTCATCTCTGAGAGAATGAGTGTTGTCAAATCAGCATTTATTGTAGTTTCATTAGTGTTACCACAAACATGGACAAATATTTATTGTAATGGTGGTAAAAATCCACCAAAAGTAGACCAAATGTAAATGGTGTACTGCTATGTCTGTAATTTTGGTTTGCCTTGAAGCCAAGTGTCAGCAGCTTGACTGTGCCCAGCAGTGGGACATAAAGGCTGTAACTTTACATTACACCCAATTTTAATGTTGTTTCTAGATATGTCAAATAGCTGCGTATACACCTAAGCAATCATACTCGCAATACATAATGCCTTATGGAGACTTGAACCCAGGTGCTCGCCGGCGTCATAATGTCCGAGTTGTAACTGTTGGACGATACCGAATGCTTAAGGACACAAATACTCATAAGGTATGCTTCATAATATCTCAAGCTATTTAGAGCTTATAGAATTCTATTTATTTATTATATAGACATTATTTTTATTATAGGCTGCAACTTTAATTTTTTTTTAATTATATGGTCAACAAAACAGATAACAATCAAATTACTTTAAAAAAAAACACCTATGTAACAGTTCAGCGTCAGATTGATATCCTAAATATGTTGACATATCATTTTTATACCTAGTGTAGGAGAGACTACACTAGATTATGTTATCCTAAAATGCTTAATACATATTATACTCAAAGCCTATTTGATGTGATAATGAGTGTGTGTAAGTGGAAACTGTTTTACTGCACTTTTGATAATTCTGGGTCTGGCTTATCCAAGCTGGAGCTATTCATAGAAATCTTGCTGTAAAATAGACACATTCTTTCTAATATATTAAGCTTATTTTTTGTTAAAGATAATAATGTCTTTTATTGTATTTCCATTAAATAGATTTAAACTTTCTCATTTTGTATCACCTTACAATCAGTCCACTGTTGTACATGGCTTCTCCCTGTTTTGGCAGGTTGTAATACGAGGGTGGATTGAAAAGTACTTGGCCTAACACAGATCCATTCAATTCTAAAAATCAAATCTACCCACATTATTTAGTTCAGTTCAGTCTAGTTCATTGTGTGAAGTTCGAAACGTGTGCGATAATTAGTTGTGATTTTATACATTTATTAACAAAGTAATCGGACATAATTTCCGCGAATGGAGCAAATCGAGCAGCGTGCCGTCATTAAGTACCTCCATAAGAAGGGGCTATCATCAAAAGCCATCCATGATGACATGGTCAGTACATTAGGCGATTGTGCTCTGTCATATTCATCCCTCAAAAAATGGATAGCAGAATTTAAGCGTGGTAGAGAGAGTGTGAAAGATGAACCCCGCTCTGGAAGGCCTTCGACGTCAACTACTGACGAAAATATTAAAAAAGTACTTGATTTAATAATGGGAGACTGAAGATTAAAAATTAGAGAGATAGCCGAGATTATAGGCATCTCTTATGAACGAACTCAAAACATCATTGTCAACGAGTTGGGTTTCCACAAGGTGTCTGCGAGGTGGGTTCCGCGACTGCTTTCAGTTGAACAAAAAAGGACGCGATTGACTATTTCACGCGACTGTTTGGAGTTATTTGAAGCCGATGCAGATGATTTTTTGAATCGTTTTGTTACTATGAACGAAACATGGGTTCATTACTGTACACCGGAAACAAAACAACAATCAAAACAGTGGAGAAGACCTGGTTCACCACCCCTAAAAAGGCTAAGTCGATTTTGTCGGCAAATAAAGTGATGGCTTCAGTATTCTGGGACTCGAAAGGTGTGATTATGATTGATTATCTTGAAAGGGGTCAGACTATAAACTCTGATTACTACTGCACCTTACTACGTCGTTTACGAGAGGAAATAAAAGAAAAACGTCGAGGAATGCTCAGAAGAAAAGTCCTGTTTCATCAAGATAACGCCCGTGTTCACACGTCAGTACAGTCAATGGCTGAAATTCACAACTGTGGCTTTGAACTGTTACCGCATCCGCCGTATTCACCTGATCTGGCACCATCAGACTTCTTTCTGTTCCCTAACCTAAAAAAGCACTTGGGAGGTCAAAGATTTTCGACAAACGACGAAGTCAAAGCAGCTGTAGACGCATATTTTGACTCTAAGGAAGAATCATTTTTTTTCAACGGTCTAAATGCTTGGAAGGGGAGGTGACAAAAGTGTATTGAACTTGATGGTGATTATGTAGAAAAATAAAAATATAACTGATTTAGTATGTGTTTATTTTCTTGGTTAGGCCGAGTACTTTTCAATCCACCCTCGTATCTGATGTTGCATTACAATTGTGACATAAGATGGTTATGCTGTGATTTGTAAATTTATAATCTTTCTAGCATTTAGTTTAAAGCATTATTTCTTATTATCTTTTCTATTGACTTCCATAACATACTGATCATTTACATGAAAGATTTTGCACTATATTCCAAAAAAAAAGTTTACAATCTAAGGTAAATGATGTTTGCACAATTCCTGTATTAGCAAAATTGAACAAACACCAACAGTATTCACATTTCAATTACTTCAATCACCCAAACTAAAAATCTACTCAAATACTAAATTTTTAAATACAAAATCTTTTATAGAAATATATTATTACAGATACTAAAAACAAAATCGGAAATATCAGCCCTCACAGATTTTCTAGATTGGCTGGAGAAAGAAAAAGGTGATGGAAGTGTGATTTTAATCTACCACGAACCACGTCGCCTCAGTCCAACCATGTTGCTAGAAGCACTGACTCGGTAAGCATAATATGATATTGTCTTTTGAGATGTGATTTTGTTTTCCAAAAATGCATAAATCTTTTCACTGAGAAAAATAGATGTCAGTTCACCACTGCACTCAATGAGTATTCATTGCACTTATGTTAATCCTGTAATTCTCAAACATTTCCACAATCAGATGCCCTGACATCATCACAATCATTCAGAAGCCCTGACATTTTTTTTACCTTCATGAAAGCATGCATTCTTAATTCTTATACCTTATTAAGGGCATCAAGGCCTGTTTTTGCAATTATTCAAGTAATGAAATGTAATGCAAATAGGTGATTGTACGGAAAGCATTGTTAGACACATGGTAATAATCAAAAGATCGAGCCTGAAAATCAACTGTTACACGACTTAATAATGAAATGTGGTATCGTATTAGGTATACAACACTGTACTGAGACTTATTATCTATATTGTTTTTTTCCTGTATTTTATGTTATAAGTTTTTGAAGAATGATAGTTTCTTCCTAATATACTAAAGTTTTTCATATATTACAGCTACAAGTTGCTGGACCGCTTCAAGTCGATTGTGGCTGGATTTACGGACAGTTATGCGTTGGCGGCCGACAAATGCAAGTCTACGGTGAAGTCAGTATCCTTGCGAGTACTAGCACGAGTACTACTTGACGCTGACACTCTCTCTGTGGACAGTGCACTCGACAGAGCCACAGCTGCTTACCGCATAGTAGAACACTTAGCTCAAGGTCAGTATAATAGCCATACAAGTGGAAATTTTCATTATAGAATATATCTTTTTCTATGGCATACTGACCAACTTCCTGAATTTTGAAATGAGCATGCAATCACTGACTTTGGACAACTGTTGTGTGCTCACTGCTCACACTTAAGTGGAACATCAAGTTAGGATGTAACTGCAGCAGGGATATCCAAACTGCTTCCCAGTGTACACCATTATGTGAAAATAATGTTGATTTGTTATAAATAGGTGAACAACAAGAAGTTGGTGCTGGAGGCGAGGGTACAGCAGCCAGTAAAGACATGGTGGAGACAGCTCGGCTTTGGGCTAGACCTGTCCATACTGAACTAGAGGCACTTGCTAATCTTAAGAAGTTGCTCGAGAGGTTAGTCCTTATTTACCTATATCATGTCTATTATCATCGTGGGTTTGTTAATTGGTTGAGTTGTTTTATTCGATTTACGTAGAATAAGAAATATAACAACTAGTCTCAAGTTATCTGTGAACAATAGGATTATAGTGCCAAAGTGTACAGCATAGCACAGGTTGTGCTCAACTATAAGGGGTAGTCTAACTGTGCAAGCACAGGTTGACTCTCTATACCTCACTCTTATAGTTCAATTGGAAGGCAATCTGACACAATTGGAGAGACAGAGGCACAGGACCATTGGCTTTACATGCTTGGGTGCGAGGTTGTGAAACATGGCCAACTTCCTGAGTCTGGGATGATACTATTAATTTCTTTGTGGAAATACTCAATTACTGATTTTGGTCCAACTTGAGATTTGAACCGTTTAGTGGTGGTGTGACAGTATCTACTACCCCATATTGTCCCGTCGGTATTATAAATGGCGAAAGAGGAAAGACAGAAGATGGATAGCAGTATCTTCATGATCCTGACAACTAAAAGTTATAAAAAACTGCGGTTGCCTACATGCATGGAGACTATGGCAAAATCCTCTCTTTAAGGCAGTGCACATAGGCTGTGATGGATGGGTAAGAAAATGAAGAAAAATTATTTTGAAATACTCAATACATACTGGATATTGCTAATAAGGATGGAATAGATGGGGATTCGAACGCGGGACTTTATGATCGGCAGTAGCACTTACGACCACTAAACTAACGAGGCGAAACTTAAACGTATAAGTTATATTATACATAATTTACATATAATACATTTACAACATTATCATTACAGACAAAACACGTTCCGACCCGTTTTCGCACCGTTACTACGTTCTGCGAGGCCGGAACGTAAACGTGTAACTCAACTTCGACGGCTTCTCGCCGACGCCGGACTATTATATGATCAAATTCGTGACGCGTGGCAGGAAGAGAAGCTTACTGGTGAGTGGGTAGATACATTGTAAACAAACATGATTTCACCCAAAAACTAAACAATGATTACCATTCACATTGGAACATCGGGAAAAAAACATGTGTTTAGTTTCCACGCTGTAGAAGTGGAACCTTCATAGCTCCTCTACACAATGAGCCAGCGTGTGAAGGACATAGTGGTATCGGATGGGGGGGGTATCGATGTCGGTTTGCCGCACGTCAAATGTGACGCACGTCAGCGATGGCGGTACGCAACTACACGTTGCCCATTCCACAGTTGTGTGTGCTCGACGGTTGAGTGTGGACGTTCGTGCTTTGTTTATTAATTAACGAATTTTCTTAAAAATGACGAATATGTGGCGTCATAATGAATTAATAATTTTTTTAGAATAATATCAGAGAGAAAGTGTAATATGGAATCTAAGACAAAAACAACACAAAGATAAAAATGTGTGCAATTGATGGATAACAAACAACATCTTCTTCTACGCCATTTCTTTTTGATAACTCTTATTCTTGTGCACATAAGAAAATAATGGTATGTGCTGTACGGTACGGTAGATACATTGCCGCAGCGGCTAATGCTTCCAAGTCCATCTCGAAATACGTTTCAATCACAACTTTATGACGCCATTTTGTGGAGTTGCGTTTCCAACCATCGCATGGCCATTAAGCTGGGCCAGCGCTGGCCCATGTAGGAGCTAGGAGGAGGATGAAAAGCTATCAGAAAAGTAGACAAAAGTTGGTAGGCTCCAAAGCACCACAAAAGAAGAAACTGAGATAATAGGAAGCACTGTATATTGTATTCTATCTCATTCTCTCTCATGCTAAATATTATAGATGCATATGTTTACCTCTTTTAGTGTTTCATTGAGTATCCAATCAGAATGATTCCAAAGAAGTTTTCACATAAATAATAATTAAGAAAAAGAATTTCCCCGGGAATATACTGCTACTTGCATAAATTTATTTTTATTTTTTGTTGTGTTTTCGTAGTTTTAATCTCATATCACCCAGTTCAAGAATAAATGACAAAAATATTCCATTAATATGCTATGATTTTATCTATTTTAACCACCTGGAACCTGCATGTCTGAGGAATAGGAAACAAAAATTTTTTCGAAGACAAGTGAAGTTCGCCAACACGCATTGGGGCAGCGCGGCGGACGCTTCCTTGCCCTGAAACCCTCTCAGAAATGAGGAGAGGCATGCGCCCAGCAGTGGGACCTATATAGGCTGTAACTTAACTTTACTTTTATCTATTTTAGGTTTAGAAAAACAATTACAGGCACTGTCTGTGTCTGCTAACGAAGAGGACATAAAGGAGCTCATAGAAATTTTTGATTGTCATTTCGATCCTGCCAAAGAACCAAAAGGACCTAAACCAAGAGTTACAAACAGAAATAGAGTGAGTATGTAGATATAGTGTAACAAAGTTTTTATAATACATTTAATAATGGTGTTAAAATCCTGAGGTTTTAAACATATTTTATACTGATGCAGGCAAATAAGTAGATATTTCTATGCCTGCAAACAATTACTCCTGCTTTTATAAACGATTTAATAAGCCGATATCCAAGACTGGACTTAACTTTATACACATATTTTGCCAACACACTAGCCTAATAGCAAACTTGTAAAATGAAAATTTTTGTATATATAATTGCTGGTGCGTTTGTTGGTGATGTTGTTAGTGAAGACACGTAAGTCTGTGGTAACTTCTGAAAAGAGAGAGGGGAAGATGGACAAAAATTACGTGTGTACGTCGTGCTATTTCTTTAGTAGAGGTGGACAGGTCTTACTCAATTTCGTTAAGCACAATGTCTTGTGTATTGATATTAGCTAGTCTTCCAGTGCTCATACAACCAATGCCGCTGCCAGGTATTCTACCTTCCAAATAACACCTGTGCACTCTGATGAATACGCGGTAATCTGGGTGACGCGCGGTAGGGTCATTTTTCCCTATAAACGGCTGCATTTGCGTTGCTTCTGCATTCACCATAAATAAAGTGCATGTTTGCATATTCTTGTGCTGTATATTGAATATGTGGCATCATAATACACAATATCAGTCCAGATACAGGCCAAGTCGTCGTAAACTTACCAAACAAAGTCCATATCACAAAGCAATACTAAGAGTCCAATGAAATAGCCAGGAGTCGTCGTAATAACACTAATTTTAAAATCACAGAGAAGAGAACTCCTATAGGAATGCACATATGCGATAGACACACTAAATACTTGCCTTTGTTATGTGCCCAGTTGCACGAGAAAAGTACAATGTATTAACATTATACTCAAACGGTGCTATTATAATAAAAACATTTACACATACAATACCATGCATAAATTGTTCATGTATTTGACGCACAAAGAATACGATGACATTTTAGCAGGAACGCACACATTAAAGGTTAAAAATTCTCTCGCTCACTTACACACCTTGTATCATAAATCGTAATAAACAAAAGATGGGTAGCGTGGGCCACACTCAGGTAGTAAATACCGATATTATACGATATTTACTACAATAAAAAGGACTCTTTCGATCAAGAACGCCCCTGTCATTTTCATTGTTAAAGATAAGATGGATTTTTTTTTCTATCTTTGGATAAAATTATGTATTATACCATTTTGTAAACTGTATTAACTGCGCATATTTTTGAAATAGTTTGCCACCTTTCAAACTTTGTAAAAAAAATTTTTTTAAAAATTTCATGCTAAAAATCGATATTTTTTTTTGCAAAAAAGTACAATAGATACTCATACTCTTTACTGCATTTCTAATAGAATAGTCTGTGAGGAATAAGAGAACACCAAAAACGCAACGAATTTATTTGTGGCAGTGGTTTACATCAAAGTACAGTAAGGTCAATAAAAACGTATTTTTTTAAACCTTCATATTTTCTGCAACACTTGGATTTTTTTTTTGTATTTTTATTTGAGCACCTGTACTATTAGGCACTCCTGGATTATCCATTCTTTCTGGGACACAGTTTAGATAACTATCATAAGATATGGCAAATAAACTCGTAAGGATGCGTTTCCACCTACAACAACACTAAATTAAATTGTCAAAGCTTTCGCGCCATCTTTTTAGCTCTGGTGTGTAAATACCTCTGCGATAAGTTGCGATAGTATGATTCGCGTGCTTCTGACCAGGTATTAATGCAGAAACATTGCAAGAATTCATTCAATATGTAAACAGTGTTGCAAGAAACTTATGCAAAATCTCCGCGAGTGTTATTGGAGGTGAAAACGCGGCCTTATTTATGTACTTAAACCTCAATGAACTATGACGAAATTTGAATTGCAAAATGAATGTCTTGCGTAGGCGACGTCGTCGGCGGGTGAAACAGGCGAAGCGGAAGGCAGCACTAGCGAGTCACAAAAAAGTTCTCCACAAAATTCGCCTAACAAGACAAGCAATGGTAAGTACAAATTATATAGTAACAAACTTTTCATAATCAACATCAACTTCTAGCTTCTAGCTTGTTTTTAGTTGTTTTTATAGTTTGTTTGTTTGACGACTACTCTTCTCTATAGTCAACCAAATCTAAGAAATACCTTTTGAAGTTTCACATTAATCATTCCACAATAACTTTGCACAAACATACTCACACGATTTAAATTAACCTTTTACGTAAATCCGAAGAATTATGAAGTTATCTTTATTTTATTATAATGTAGTTTTTTATCACTAATTTAAATTCGAATCTTTCAAACAAAGCAAAATATTAAAGAAATAATTAGTATTAACGTCATTTCAATGATATGTCGCTATGTGCCTTACCGTAGTGTTTGGATGATTAAAATTCATTGATATGCGAATAATCGGCAAAAATATTCAAATTATCCGTAAAAATATTCAAATAATCGAATCATTAATTTTTTTAATGTAACTTTAAATCTTAAAAATAAAAATTTTATTTTTAAGATTTAAAGTTACATGAATCATGAATAAAAAGTTTTTTTTTTACTTTTCCAACAGAAACAGAATTTTTTTTATTCAATGTAGATTATAAGCAATACTTATTGAAAGTCAATTTTTTCATTTACCACTGGTTCGCAAAAAAAAAACCTCTGTCCTGGGAAGAACCAGCAAGAAACCCAGCAGGACTATTTTTTTTTTCAAATAATAGCTTACAATCATGTTTACAATTAACAACACAACACAAATTAGAAATAGCTTGGTAGCGATCACACTTCCCAGGTTACTATCATCCATAAATTCGTTAATATTATAATAACCCTTTTTATACAAACTTAGTTTAATAAAATTATTATGCGTATGACAAATTTTGTTTATTTTCTGGGATTTTGTTGTAAAAGCGTATACATCGCCCCAAGAATGAATTACTGACTCGGTGGCTCGGTGGAGTCGAGTAACTGGTACTACTAGCTTGTGTCTGTTCCTAGTATTTACAGAATGAATATCACTTATTTTTGCAAAATTACGTTTATTCTTGTGTATGTACATTACATTTTCATAAATATATTGAGAGGCCAGAGTTAATATATTAATTTCCTTAAATTTTTGCCTCAGTGACTCTTTTGGTTTTAAATTATATATGGTTCTAATGGCTCTCTTCTACGTAAATTTGTGTATGCAAAAAACTCATACGAGGCCGCGCTGAAAAAACTACTACGTAATTTCAGTCTCCCGACATTTCGACAGCTTACTGTGCGTAATTTTGTGATTTTGTGTTTGTCTTCTTATTTTGTGACTCGACCTTAACTTTTTGGACTGTTTTTTTTTATATTCGTTGAAGCATGTACTCAAGGATGATTGGGCAAAAGTGGTAGAAAAAACAAAAATATTGACTATGGATGACTTTGAAAGAGGCATTAGTTTTGACTACATTATTAAAATTAAAATAGTAAGTAATCTAAACGACAGCTCAACTAGTTGTACTGAAAGTGATTAAATAAATTTATTTTTAATCTAGTTTCAATCTTAAAGTTTTATAACTGTGCCTCTAGAAATAAGCAGTAACAACAAAATCGAAGAAATAGATAAATCTTGTGGTTTAAATTATCCGTTTTTAATTTTGAATAAAACTATTATTTACGGATTTTATCGCGTTTAATTACTTTAATTTATTTTTATTATTATCCCGACGTTTCGGGTGCTTTACAGCGCCCATGGTCCGCGGGGGGACTGAGATGTTTGACGTCCCAATGTCATAGTTAGTCCGGCTACCTTCAGTTTTTTAATATTAATTTTTGGTCCGATTTACGCAAAACGAGCTTATAGTATCATGAAGTCTTGCAGTGGTATGCTTGGGTTTGGGTTTAATTTTGTTAATTATAGGATCCCAAGCAGATGGTAGCACCCAACCATCTTCTCTATTGAAATTTGGATGTTTTTTAATTTCAATAGCCTCGCGTATCATCCTTGGTAGGAATCGGTGTTCTTTTGCGAGAATTTGTGGTTTATCAAATCTAATGTAATGGTGGGGACGATCTTGAACATGTTCGCAGACTGCAGACTTCCCGAGCGTCGGTGCTTCACATCAGCTATATGTTCCTTCACGCGGGTTTTTATAGATCTCTTTGTTTGACCTATGTAAGAGAGACCACATTCACAATCTAGCTTGTACACACCTGCATCTTGTAGAGGAATATTACATTTGATGGATGGTAAAAATTGACTAATCTTCTTCAGCGGCTTGTAGTATGTCTTAATGGAGCTCGCTTCAAGATGTAGCCAATCTTGTCTGTGACTCCTCTAACATATGGTAGTAGAGCAGGCGCGCGCTCGACTGTGGCCGGCTTCACTCGTTCACTGTGACGTAGGCGCGGGACCCGAAGCTTGTTGTCTTGCAATACTTGCTTGACGTGCTGAAGCTCCGCGGCCAGATGTTTTCTGTCACAGATCCCTCGTGCTCTCTGAAACAAAGATTTACCCACGGTAGCTAACTGTGAAGGATGATGGTGAGATTCACCATTTAAATATCGGTTGGTATGGGTCTTTTTTCTATACACAGTGTGACCAATAGTGTTATCAGGATTTCGGATGACTAAAACATCTAGGAAAGCTAAAGAATTATTTGCCTCTAACTCCATTGTGAATTGTATTTTAGAGTTTATGGAGTTAAGGTGGTCTAAAAATGCAGTTACTTTGTCAGATGGTAAAATTGTGAAAGTGTCGTCTACGTACCGCTTGTAGAACCTTGGATTTACAGGAGCAGTAAGAAGGGCTTTCTCCTCAAAGTCCTCCATGAATATGTCGGCGACTATGGGAGACACAGGTGAGCCCATCGCCACACCATCTACTTGCTTGTAGAACTCCTCCTTCCACAATAGATAGCCAGATGTGAGGCAATGTTCAAGTAGTATTGCATATTCTTGAGGCATGTTATTTTCTTCTAGCTTCCTAGTTACAATTGAGATGCAGTCCACAATAGGTAGGCATGTAAATAGTGACTGAACATCAAAACTGACCATAGTTTCATTGTTAGCGAGATGTAGGTCTTTTATCTCACTCACAAAATGGTATGAATCCTTTGTGTGTGCTCTGGTATGTCCTCTTAGTGGTGATAGTATTTTTGCTAAGTATTGTGCCAGCTTATAGGTTGGTGAATCGATCTGGCTCACTATGGGACGTAGTGGAGCGTTTGGTTTGTGTATCTTCGGTAACCCATACAACCTCGGTGGTTTGGCACATGATGGTATTAGCGAATTCACGTCGAGATTTAATTTTTCGGAGTATTTCTTTATTAAATCGCTAGTTGTTTTAAGCGTGTTAGTTGTAGGGTCTGTTTTGACCTTTTTATATGTACTTTCGTCCGATAAAAGTTGTTGTATTTTAAAATTATATTCCGATGCGTCCATTACTACCGTAGCATTTCCTTTATCCCCGCGGAGAATCGTGAGTTCTGGTCTGTTCCGTAAGTTATTTAGCGCTGTAAATTCGTCTTTGGGATAAAATCCGTAAATAATAGTTTTATTCAATGTGTAGTGTTCGCGTAAATTTAAGAAATCATTACGTTTTTAATTTATTTTGATATTATTCAAACAAACTGTAAATGGATTACCAACTCTAAATAATCGATATCGATTTTTTTAAGAACCGAATATTGTACGTTCCCATTTTTTTTTTGGTTGGCGTGCTTGCTGCAATAAGTCTGACAGCTGTCAAAATGTATTTCTTAGATTTGGTTGACTTTAGTGTGTTGTACTTCCGAATACGAGGGCGGCACTGAAAATTTCGGGAATCAAGGAAGTGACACAACATTACTATAAATGTATTTATTGCTTTTCGAAGTCTTCTCCGCGAAATTTGACACATTTTTCCATACGATAGAACCAATCATTGAAGCAACCTCTCCATTCGGAAGTTGGGGTCTCCAAAATAGCCGTTTTGTAGGCGTCCACAGCTTCTTCAGGTGATGAAAATCTCCGTCCACGCAATTTATTCTTTATTTTAGGGAAAGTATAGAAATAATTAGGGCTTAGGTCGGGGTTGTACGGCGGATGGTCTAATAATTCTATGTTTTATTGCTCTTAAAAACTCTTGTTCTGTGTGCGGTGTGAGAACTCGCATTGTCGTGATGGAGGATGATGCGGCGGTTGTAGTTCTTTTTACGGAGTTCAGAAACGACCTGTGGCAAACAAATGCTAGCATACCATTCTGCATTAACCGTTCTTTGTCCCTCAAGAGGAATAGTCGTAACATGGCCGGTTTTGGAGACAAACGTGGTCACCATTTTTTTTTTGCAACACTCCGTGAACGAACAATTTTTGTTGGCTTTAACTCATTTTCGAACACCGAAACTCGTGACTGGTTTTTTGTTTCGGGTTCGTACGCGTATATCCAGGATTCGTCACCTGATACGATGTTGTATACAGCATTTGAGGATCCTGCGTGGTATCTTTTGAGAGTTCTGATGCACCAAGTAACGCGACCCGCTTTTTGCTCTTCACAGAGCGAATGCGGTATCCATCGGGAAAACAACTTTTTTACACCTAATTGTTCATGCAAGATTATTTGTATTTGACTCATGCCAATGTCTAAAGTTGCCTGAATTTCGCGGTATGTCACATGTCGATCTTCTTCAATCAGCTTACACACAGCATCAACTTTTTCTTGGGTGACTGCAGTTTTTGGACGACCTTGACGGGGATCATCACTGAGCTTGACACGTCCACGTTGAAATTCGGCAAACCAGCGATAAATTGTGGTTTTGGATGAGGCTTCATCACCAAATGCAGAAATCATCCGGTCAACACACTGTTTTTGTGTTAAGCCACTTCGAAAGTCATAATAAATCATCGCTCTTGAATTTTCTCGAGTCAATTCCATTTTCTCAACGACTAAACAAGTTTGACAAAACCTTGTGATAAGACCGAGAATCTTTTTTTTAAATAAATAAATGGTATTCGATTTTTAAAACCAAGGAGTTTTCAATTAAAAAGATTTTAATATGACAGGAACAGTGGAAATATTCCATTCCCGATACTTTTAGTGCAGCCTAGTACTATCGGAAGTTGCCAACTGCATAGAAGATAATTTAGTAGTAGTAATTTTGTTTTGAGTGTTACTCCTCTTCATCTCATTTTGCGTTTTTGTGTGTGTTGTGCAATTACCTCATTAAAATTAAAAAAATCTTAATTAAAATCTAGAAATTAAGAAACTTCAAAGAACTAAAAATAATGAAATAATTTCCACATAATAGCTTCAGAAATCGGTAAATTGGGGTGGATCCTCTCGCCGCCGCTACACTGATTCTTTACTCGATTTCTAATTAAATGAATAATGTTTTATGTAAATATGTACATCTGTAGGCAGGCTAAATACATCACGCCTAGTTTTCTGTTACACAAATTGACTATATTTTGCAATAAAAAAAAATGTAATGTGTTTCAGATGTAGCAGCAGGGGATACTAGTCAAACGGTAGCAGCTCCCGAAGCAGTAGCAGCAGCCGACTAACGACCGTCACCTACCATAATTTAGATTTTTCTACAACATTATTGTCGTTTAGTATTGTAACAGCGCCATAGGGATGTGACAAAACATTTATTCGTATTATACATTTAGGTTAAGTCTTTGGAATTGAAAGATATTTGTTTTGCATGCATTGGTGGACGAGTTTACACATTGAAATTTTTTTGTTAACCAGTATCCTCCCATTGTTCTTTTGCTTTACGCATAATACATTATAATATATACATAAATAGATGATAATTGTAGATGAGTGCCTTAGCGACTCAGTATAATGAGATATAACTTTTGTATGCCCACATTTTTGTGTCTGTCGAGCCGTAAATATAATGCTGTTTTGTATAGGAGAGTTAAATTTGTCGATTTTTTCCAATCGGCGCACTTTTACGGTTACGTCAATCAGTGTTGAGATGAATTATTGTTTGTGATTGGACGTTGCAAAGGTTCTTTCTATTTTTAATAACCAACTTTTATGACATAATATTTATTTTTATTTTAAAGTTCTTATTAAGAGGATATAAAAGTACAATATAGTACTACGTTTTATTTATAGCAAATATCCTTTATTTATTTTTGTTGAATGTGTGCAATCACATTGGAACGGATGGACTGATTTTTGCATCCGATATTTTTTTAAATTCTATTTATTTGTTTATTTTTTCACATACATTGTTACTAGGCTGGATTACGCATATTTCGCTTTACTAAAGTGCTTTGGTCGCATATCATTTTATTTTTGCCATAGATGAACTTAAAGGTTAAGTTTTCGTACCATATAATAAATGTAATAAAAACAGTGTGTACCTATTAACTTACCTCTAATTTAGTTAGTTTTAACATAGACTGTACATATAATTTAATTTTCTTATTTTGTTCAGATCTCTAATAAATATGTAAGAGTCTACCATTTGTTTCTCTTAAATTTCCTGTTACACATTCATGTGCGCAGATAGTTTGTTTGGGAGATTGGTCATCTAAACCGAAAATAAATGGTAAAGAACCTATGGTATGTACATACTACATATATAATGAAAAATGTTTTAAAGAAATGGAAGGAACTGGCGGCTATTTTCGAAACACTGAATAGTTCATTTTCTTAATGAGCTTGTTAAAATCCAGTGCTAGATAAGGGCCTCTTATTAAAAATGGAGGATCTTAACAGTCATCGACATGTTTGAAATACCTGCGTTAGAAGAGTACTACTACCGAAACTACATAACAAAACGTAAACATAAATATGATGGCGACTATTATTTCGGGTTATAATTATCAAAAGATTTATTAGGTACCTTTGATGATGTTTAAAGATATGGTATTGTAGGTATAATGCATATAAATGATGAAGATGATTACTTAGATTTTATTAGACTTTTTTAATCCAATTAACAATGCGGCCTTCAATTTGCTCGTGGAATAATCGTCACTGCATCAATTGAAATATGTTATTTTTTATTTAATTTATCTTGTACATGACTAAAGCTGGCTTTCCACTATGGGATATAATATATATTATATCCCGCGATTGCCCTTCACACTGGGAGATATCTCTTTTAACCAGTGTACGTTCGTCATTGGACGATCTGAGGTCATAGTGGAGGCGCGGAAGGGTGTGCAGTGTGAAGGGGGTACAGGAGGTGAAATATGAAAATATCGCTTGGTCGATCGAAATAATATATATATATATATATATATATATATATATATATATATATATATATACTAGCTTGCCAGGCAGACGTTGTTCTGCCCTTTTCGATGACCCTTTTTCATATCCTATTAAAAATCCTTAAATTAGCAAAAAATTGTGGGTCACTCATGAGCAAAAAAAAATCCTATCCTATCTCTCAAGTTGGACCAAACTGCACACGGTGTGCAAATTTGATTAAAATCGGTGCAGTAGTTTAGGAGCCCATCGCGGACAAACAATACTATATATATATATATATATATATATATATATATATATATATATATAGTTTGGGATGTAATATATATTAAATCCCAGTGGAAACGGTTCCATTTAAAAGTACGGTGAGCGATATTAATTTATACCTCGAAATGTATATAAATTATATTATATCCCATATTGGAAAGTGGGCTTTACACAGGCCACCGGAGAGGAGTAGCCATAATTATGCAGGTCCTATATCAAAGTATAAGTAATGTGCGGAGCGATCCTAAGAAGAGACCTTTGGCAAGATTAGTTATTTATTTTTATTCAATCTAAAGTACTTAGAAACATCCGCGGCAGACTCCATGTCCGTGACATTGCTGACAAGCTACAGGAAAGTCGCCTCCGCTGAGTGTGTACAGAGTGTACAGCCGCCATAAGACATAATTTTTAACGTCTAATAAAGTCGTGACGATCTTGATGTCACGAAGAAGTTGAATTTGTATACGCGTCATTAACGTCGGAGTTTGCTTTACTAGCAGAAATTTCCTTGAATTACAATAATTATCGAGTATCTACCGTTCAAAATTCTTAATACGCATATTTCACGGCCCCGCTGGTCTAGTAGTTGTAAGCAGAACTGCTAACCGTGAGTTCCCGGATTCAAATCTCAGTTCGGGTCAAAAATCAGTTATGGGGTTTTTCTGTCAAGAAATACTGAAACAGAATTTTTTATTCAATAATAGGCTAAGCTTTCCATTGACGTCTGTCGAGTTGGGGGTTGATATTTTTTTTACTGAAAGGTTACATTAATATAAGCACGCAGTTTCAACATGCGGAAACGCGTACTTTTTGAGAAAAAAATTATTGAAAATCATTAAATCAATTATTTTTGTAATATTTACGTCAATCCCTACCACAGATAATATCGAATTCTCGCCATTGAACGTTCTTTTTACGTATGGTTAAGTTGTCATATGTTCGGTAACATTCTATTTTACATAACTTTACGTAAATAATTATATTTTGTACTCATTTCAATAGTTTTCGTTGGTTTTCATGCATACACATATATTTAAGAGTTTATATTTAATTACAGAATTATTGTCATTACGAGCTATTAAAATTTAAATGTGTCTACCGTCTTTTTCCGGCTTGTGGGACGAAAAGTAAAACTGATGATTTCTAAGAATTAATTAAAGCAATATGTGTATAAAATTGTATAAAACATGTGTATAAAATGTGTATAAAACAGTACCCACCTATTAGGGCTGATAACAAATAAAATAGATTAGGTTCAACTAATGTCAAGGAACCGAATTAAATTGACTACGACTCCACGTGGTATGAGTCTGTCTTACCCCTAGTGTTTTTATAGAGCCGGAGGCGCGTAGGGAGAGCAGCCTCCGCCTGCTGTAACAAATCGTAGGCATTGGACGAGCCGGAGCGGCTGAGGCTGGTCGCCGAAGGCGATCAACAAGCCGAAGCTGCGGAGGCAAGGCTGGATGCTTGCGATTTGTTACGCAAAGGCGTAGGCTTCCCGCAGCGCCGGAGACGTTGCAGTCTCAAAATGGATACAGAAATCCCTCTGAATGAGTCCCTCTATTTATTTGGTGAAGGGGGTTCCCCCTTCCTTAGGGGGTACCCCCTTCCCCCCCAAGAGGTTCCCCTGGTTTTTTTACACTTAATATTTATCCATAAAATGAGGAAAATTTCCTCAGGATTTTTTGTTATCGAAAAAATAAATAAAAAATATTATAACCTAAAATGCGTAAAGTATGGAACATGATACATTTTTTATTATTAACTGACTTTACAGATCTGGGTTCTAGCCCTTCTGAGAAAAAAATATACGATATTACTGTGAAAGCTGGATAGCATACAGAATTTTGTGGCTGTGGCGAAAGCAAAGGCAACCTGACTAAAGATATCTGATCTGATCGAATCTGTACTAAAATTAAATCAGCATGCCCCGAATCCACGTAGTGTTGTCTGTCCTACTCCTAAATTGTTTTTGTAAAGCCGTAGGCACGGAGGGAGAGCAGCCCCCGCCCGTCGTAGCAAATCGCAGTCACCTGTGCGAGCCGTAGTTTGCTTATTATTGTATTATATATTATGTTTATAATTTAAAGCAATTATAAAAGCTAATATTTTGGTGTTTTGTTGAGTGCAAGAGCGAGCGAAGCGAGCTCGGGACTTAGGGCACCCTGACTCGGACAGGTTAGGTTAGAAGGGGATGGAGGGGTCAAATGAGCGAGCGAAGCGAGCTAATAGACCCCACCATTCCCTTCGTGGTTATTTGTTTGTAAAGCACTCAGAATTAGGAGCCCCGCGAAGCAGGGCTTCCCTCGACTGCGCTACATGGTCCTTCCCTTCCCCAACTTTCTCCCCCTGTAAATCAGGTTTGTAGTCAAAAAAAATACAAAAACATAACTTCAAAATTAGATTTTTAAAAATTTATAAAAAAGCATCTCCGGCAGGATATGGAAATGGGGGGCGGGAACTCTACAACTCCCCCGCCTCCCTCTCCACCACCTCCCACCCCCTTAATTCATTTTGAGTTATCATTTGTAGGTTAGTTCTATGGGATTTTCTTTTTGATTTTTCTTAAGAACGGTGTATTACCTTTTAATGTGAATGATATTGTTACAATCAACTAAACCTCTACCAAATAAAACACCTCACCCTCCCAAATTCTTTCCAAACGATTCTAAATTTTAACCTAGTTAGTTGATAAAAAAAACTTTTCAGGTGGATCGTTTAGAACGAGTATGCAGTCCTTGCTGGCTGAGGGCTTCCAGAGCTGTATGGAGACAGAGACAACAAAATGAGAACAGGGATATGGAGTTACAATCCATGAATATAGAAGACATCGATAACATCCCACAACCACCCCCTATACATTTACTTTGGCATCAACAATTACTATGGCTAATTATAAGCGTGCTGCTTCTACTTCCCGTCACTGTATTTTTAAGTTATGTAAACATTCATCTAGATTTTTAATACCTAAACTACTTAAAGAGAGATTTCTGATTGATCACTCATTTTATGTGCCACTGTGCACTCGTATTTGTGAATACCATTTAAATGAACT